TTATTTTCAGGCCTTGATCTCTTGTGCTCCTGGAGCGTCAGCGCGCCCACCCAGTGTTGCAATTTTCTGTTGTGCGTCAAACAACACACGCAAGCTACTTCTGAGTCGATCGCCGTTATGTGTTAAGCAGTGCAGGCAAGCCACGTTCATTTCACTTATCGTCAATCAACTTTGCACGCAGTTCGCGCAATGAGTACGCCTCTGTTCAAAATTCGCTCCCGTGCACGCACTAGCTGTAGTCAACACGAACAGCCATCGTGCTAGTGTATGTCTCTTCTTCGATACATGGAGGCCAAGAGGAAAGAAGCGCTTTGATCCGCAGTGTTCCTGTGCATTGACGCACCGTCTAATTTTGTACAAGAGTAAATGACGCAAGCGTCAACGATACTTCAGAGTCTCTACGCCTTGCCAACAAAGCCGATTGCTCTAGCTCTGGGCGCCTGCCAGTCAGCGTACTTCCTGAATTCACACGCATTGCATTCACTGGCCGCGATTCGGATATTCAATCGCAATCTGATAACTGGGAAGTGCGGCACGATTCCACCAGTACTGCATTTCGCGAAAGACATGGAGGTGTCCATGTTAATCACAGCCAAACACACCCAAAGTCTTTTTACAGAATACGTCCTAGCATCACTTCAACACCCTCAAATTCAGGCTTTAACGCACTGACTGAATTTGCACCCAAAGACGCATTCTAAGGAAAAAGGGCGTGCGAGTCCGCAATAGCCACCACATGGTTGCAATCTATCTGAACCAAGCGTTGGACTTCTACAGAGCTATTGCGTCGGCGTACTAGCTGCATCCAAACAGAATGGCATTCTGAAAGATTGACAGAATTTTCAACGATTCCATATGCTTAGAACACAGCGGCTAGCAAACCGGCTACTTGAACGTCTGATGTTGAATTGCGATGACGGACATCCTGAATTGGTGATTTCCCGGCAATACACTTAACACGAATTTATAATGGTTGCTCTGAAAATCAATGCGCCGTCTCATTCTATTTCAGCATATTGGCCTCTCGCCTGGAATGTCAATCGGGTGACGCACAGTCTGTTTCCGGAAAGAATCGGAGCATCCGAAGGATGGCATTTAATCGCTAGTCCCAAAGCAATCGCAACAGCTACTGCCAAGATTCCCTTCTTTCCGTCAGTCCACGAACGAAAAAGGTAGATGGTATATATTAGTCGGCTTCGCAGGACCGTTTTAACTACAAAACGTAGCAGGGAATCCACGCAGCCCTGTAACACCACACAGCCGGCTGCTCCACCGACCAACCTCTCGAAAGAATGAATGAATGGCCAGTAAATATTTCAGCCATCGGAGCCAATTCAAGTATTGAACTAGACGCAATCAATCCACTCTTGTATTTAATATCCATGCCTTAGAACGCACAAGCTAATATTCAAAGAGACGGCGTCTCACAAGCACGAACGCCTTTATCACCACAAATCGCTTACTGCTGTAGCAGCTATGGACTGAGCAGTTGTCCTTCCCTAATGCTAGTGAGCCAGCTGATATTCTGAAGTCGGATAAAACGGCGTGTCACAAGCCAGGCATAATCATGTAGGGCTACCGAGTTGTGGCAGTCTGCAGAAACAGACCAGTTGTGCGCAGGGCCAGAATCGAAGGAAACGCCCTTTCCGAATTTTTGGAGATAATCGCTGAGCAGGAGCGCGGTACACATCTGCTGAAATGCGCTTAGCTACTGCCATCGGTATGAATAGGTCTCTTCGCGTCCGCAGCCCCAAAACGCCAATGAATGTACCGGTGAATGGAAAATAGCGAACTTCAGCCGCAGCTCCTAGATCTGTGAGCCCATGTGCACACTTTACTTATGACTCTACAGAGCCTTTACATCATCTTCCTACTTGCGTTCGGGCAAGGCTCTGCATGAGCAGCTCCTTACCAGCATCAGACCGCCCCGACCAACCTAGTCTCACTCGCCGTGCTTAGCCCCCTGCATGCCAATGCAATGCCTGAATTTATAACGAGCCATACAACTCAACGATCGATCTCACAAACCTCCAGAGCCACGCAACTACTGCCAGAAACACGAACGGCAAGACTATGAATCAAAAATGGCGGCGTGCGGTAGGTTAGGTAGGATGAACCATTGGTGATGCAGTTGGCCATTGCCTCTTAACTGTGTTGGCCAGCACGAACTAGTAGCTTCGGCGAAAAGACGTACTTCCTCATACTAAAAAAACGAAACACATTCACGAAACGCGGCATTCATGTCTACACTACAATCTGCCAGTTTGCCTGTTGTGTGCCTTCGCCTCGTGTGTCAATGACGTTCCAGATAGTGGCGCCATGTAGTCCGGACTGGCATGGACCTCCTGAATAAGCGAACGCTGGAGAGGAATATCAGTAGAAGCTGACGTGAGGTCCTTCAGCACCGAAGTTACCCACCAATTGGCTTACTTCACGCATATGCACGAAACGCCATTCAAACAAACAGCACAAAATCCCGGAAACACGAAACTACATCAACTGCAGTATGCGAATCGTTTTCATTTGCCTGCGTTGCATGTCAAAGCATGTTAACTTCTGCGAAACGACACATTGCAAGACTCATTTTCACAGGCGCCGAAGGTAGTCTAGTGGCCACCAGACTTCTGGGAAAATATGCTGCACACGAATTATCAGTTAACCAACTCTCGCTGACTTAGTTAACGAGCAATAAAGCTCACTGATATTATCAAACTATTTCAACCAGGCCCGAGGAAGTGAGCAACTTCCGCTACCTCTCCGTGTGGACGCACTCCCTCGCCCTAAAGTTTATAACACACTTTGAAATGAACAATACATTTGAACGAAACACCAAATGCGCCGTAAAGCTCACTGACATTACCAAATTATTTCGATCAGGCCCCAGGAAATCAGCAATTTTCGCTACCTCTCTGTGTGCACGCACTCCCTCGGCCTACAGTTTATAAAACACTTTGAAATGAAAAGGAATAATACATTGGAACAAAACACCAAATGCGCCATGAAGATCACTGATATTATCAAACTATTTCAATCAGGCCCGAGGAAGTGAGCAAATTCCGGTACCTCTGCGTGTGGACGCACTCCCTCTGCCTAAAGTTCATAACACACTTTGATATGGACAGGAATAATGCACTTGAACGAAACGACAAGTGCACCATAAAGCTCACTGATATTACCAAACTATTTGAATCAGGCCCGAGGAAGTGAGCAATTTCCGCTACCTCTCCGTGTGGACGCACTTCCTCGGCCTAAAGATTATAGCAAACTTTGAAATGAACAAGAATAATACATTTGAGCGAAACAGTAAATGCGCCATGAAGCTCACTGACATTACCAAACTATTTCGATCAGGCCCCAGGAAATGAGCAATTTTCGCTACCTCTCTGTGTGCACTCACTTCCTCGGCCTAAAGATTATAGTACATTTTAAAATAAACAGGAATAATACATTTGAACGAAACACCAAATGCGCCATGAAGATCACTTATATTACCAAATTATTTCAATCAGGCCCGAGGAAGTGAGCAGCTTCCGCCACCTCTGCGTGTGGACGCACTCCCTCGCCCAAAAGATTGACACATTTGAAAATGAACGGCGATAATCCATTTGAGCAAAACACCAAATATGTTTTGGGAATCATTAAACTTAAGTGGGATTACTGAGCTGTGCAACGTATGCCCGGAGAAATAAGCTATTTCCGCATTCTGTGAGTGGACGCACTTCCTCGGGCTGTAGATCATTACACCTTTTGAAATGAAGAGGAATATATATGAATGGAACGCCGAATGTTGACTAGAAACACCAAGCTAAAGTGAAATTACCGAGCTGTGTGAAGCATGCCCGAAGGAATCAGGTATTTCTGCTGTGCCTTCCCGTGGACGCACTTCCTTGGGAATACACTTCTCGAAATAGACAGGAATACTATATTTGAAAGAAACACTCAATACTCGATCGAAACCAGTAAGCTCAGGAGACGAGCAGGAACAATTAGTTGTGCTCCTGCGAGGCAGTTCCATCTACGCAGTGGCTGCGCACAGACGGCGCGGCAGTTCGGGAAACACAGCGATACACATCTGTGGGATAACCAAGCTATTGCATGCCACTGGACGAAATCAACGAACTCCCCTTGCAGCAGAAGCAAGTGGTATAGTGATCCGAAGTCACGTGTTTGTGTCTCAGGTCTAAGATTCTTATATATGCAAGGCACTTCCCACAAAATGCCTTGCTGTAACAAGAGGCCTATGTGAATCACGCGAGAACAAGCCAGCTGTATCTACTTTGCCTGCGCCGGAAGTAAATTTTTCATGCTAACGGCTTCTGTACACGTTGGGCATGGCAGGAGTAAATCCTACAAGAAACCGAATAATCCCTGGAAGTTAGCTGGCGCAAACTGCATCTACGGAGATGCTGGTGCAAGAAAAAGCACGCCCTGAACTTCCAGATAACGGCAAGTACAAGGAAAATTATGCTAAAGTGCTCACCCGTGGAAACCTGCGGCCAACCCATGAATAAGCATAAGTTCCAAGTAGCTACGCAGCACTACCAAAACATGGGTACCCGAGCAGGTGGATTTATTTTTCTGCGAACTTAACAGAACTGTCACAGGATGAATGCCGCTGCAAAAAAGCACGATAGGGAAGCTAAAGTTCGGCACTGCCAAATCTGCTATTTAATCCACAAAGATTGCTATGTTGAATCGGCGCGCTGGCATACTTCCTGAAGCGTCAAAAACTGACCACTCTTCAATCGAAATACAAGGAATAGCACGGAACACCAGCATCAGACTGTGCAGATCGGCGTAATGCAGTCAAGGTATCTTGTTTCCAAGATTGTCTTTGGAAAGGCATCGAATATGCACAACAGAGCAACTGGAGCTGAGCTGATCAGCACGAAGGTGAAACACAGTTAATTTCAGCCTATCGTGAAGGTAAAGAACTTCCGCAGTGCAGTATAAAGCGTCAACACGAAAATGCACGCCGGGAACCCCCAAATAGGCGCTTTTGCTGTCCGCTATCGAGAAACCAGCTCTCAAAACCCCTTGCAAGCAACGGCTACAAGCACAGGTGGTCCCCTGAACACTGAGTTCATAACAGTCGCTTGAACATCTAGGACAAGAACTTAAAAAATGCTCAATGTATCAGGAACGAAAGGGCTTTGTGCCTGCTGTGCATCAAAAGCGAGTGGCGCCGCAACCCGAAATTACGTGTGCGTGCCTCCTAGCCAACGTTCCTTCTGAATTGGCACTAAACGAAGAAGTGCACTTTGGAAAATCCTTGGGAGTCTGCCAGTTCACAGAATCCTTTAACTCAAGCTTTTAGCGCTGGCTCGTTGTTACCCTTCTACAGCGTTAGAAATACAGTCCAATAGTTCACACAGTGAGCATTTACAAGGCTTTTCATGATTCACAAGGTACTGTTTCAAACTTTTCCCTTCTGATTGTTCCCAATAATACGTTAGTGCTGTTGTTTCTCTATAAACAAGCTGGGCATCGCAAGCTGTACAGGAGTGGAGCTTTCACAAATTTGCAGCGGCGACCATCGGGCTACAACTGCAAAACCGTCTCCCCCAATTCGATCCTTTCAAGTGTCGCAGGCAGTCTCTTTCAGCAAATAGCACAATACTCTGGCTTACGGAGCATTGGGGTTCATCGTCTTCTGCAAGCCGTCTCACGGCCGTGCCGAGGTTAGAGTTAAGGCGCAAGGTTTTGTAGCAGTGCAGCACCAAGAAAACAACTGCCATCAGAGCAGTCACCAAGGAAAGACCCAAAAGGGCCCTAGTGAGGTCCGCTGCAGCCTTTCCTCTCAGGCGAGCATCTGAAACCTGGACGGAAGGGAGCTCGCGCAGCACCGTGTCTGCGTCTGCAGCTGCAAAATCCGCGCCATACTGAGCAGATTCAACAGCAGAGAAGGGCTCGAAAGCCGCGAGCAAGGCGCCGAAAAGCATAAAACGAGACATTTTCACAAAACTAGGCTGAGCGGGGGTGGAGCCGTGTAAGCAGGCAAGTGCCCTGGGGTGAACGATGAATGCAGGGACGCGGCGGGGAAATTAAGCGCCAAATGGCGTTTAAATGCAAGTAAAGTCTTCGGGAAAAAACGAAACTATAATTTTTGATTTGTTCAAGCAAGGTTTCTCGGTTTCAGCGCGATTTGCAGAATAACATGCGGCGGGGGTTTCACGATCCGGCTGTTCCCGAGACGGGCGTTGGTCCGCATCTCCGCATCCCTCCCACCAACTACTGCTAACTGGGCAGCGTAAATGTTGGCTGAGAAACCAGTCTAAATGAAGAACTAAACGTTAATGCACGCGAGTCTGCAGCATGAAACACTCTTTTTACCTATGACCGATTCAAATCAGATGAGCCAGGTGCTACTTACTTGTGCCAGGCTGCGTGTGAGTGGTGCTAGTATCCACACCTTGTGCTGCTACTTTCTCAAGACGGGAAATTTCTTCACAAAAAAAAATTAATATCTTTTTTGTAAGAACTACTGCTATTTCCTGACAAAATTCGTTCAAGTGGCGCTCTGCGGAGAGCACCCCGCAAAAGCGCTCAGAGCCTGCGTATCTGTCTAGGTCGCGTTTAGTTTCTTTTGTTCATGAAGTTTCTTTGCCGTCTTGTAGTATCGCATTATCTATCATTGTTTTATTTTTTAAGTGTTCTTTCTGGGTTTGTTATGGCTGGAGAAAGCCCTCTAGCCGCAGCGGTAGCGCACTGAGCACAGGGTGCTCGCTGCCTCGAGCGCCTTCTCCGTTGGTCTTAGCTGGACAAACGGAAGTAAATTGAGCAGAAATTTTCTTGCCAAATCAAATATTCGAAAACCTGGCTCCTGGGCAAAGCCCTCACAGGGCATTGGGGAGCTTTGTTTTGCAGCTCTACCGCACTTTTGCTTTATTTTTACTCCTTGCTCCGCCCCAGCAGGGTGCAACTGCTGCATACATAACTATACATATATCTGCAGCCATACGAGTCTACTTACAAATATATATGTATATATGTATATGTGTGGAGATGTAAATGTATATGCACGGGCCACATCTGCACATGTAATGTAGACTGTGAATATTTATCAAGATCTAGACGGGGCAGCAAGGATGACATGCAAAGAAAGGGGACAAAAAAGATTAGATAAAAAGAAGAACAATCAGATAAATCCAATGAGTTTCAACTGTGGCTGGCCTCAGAGGCAGCTGCTGGGCTGCGTAGAGAGCAAAAGGTTGCCTACTCTAACGGCAAAACTTTCCCGCTGTCTACTGTATATTTCATAAATGCATTTTTATTCATCAGTTTTCAGCCTGTGCTCTTTTAACTGTAATTTCAACAAAGTATCGGTCTGCCTCAGACGGCTGACTGACTCTATGGACTATAATCAGGCGTCACAAATTAAGTGTTAGGTGTGTGCATTATATACTATATGTGATGTATTATAACTTAAATATCACACTATTCGTATAAAAGTGCAGAGATGCGGAGTACGAAATAACAGTATTTTTGCTAAGCAGGCTCTTTACCATTCACTTACTTTCACGTATTTGAATTCACGCTCATCTCAATTGGCATTTGTGATTAGTATTTGCTCACTTTCATGTATCTCAATTCACGCTTTTGTTGATTTTGGCCCTCGGCGTCTCTTCTTGTCAAACTCCAAGGATGTAATTCAGTAGCACGAAAAACGTCGTGTGCGAGTTACGTAGGGCCCTGTAAAGTCAAGAGGAGACAGATTTTGTTAGTGTTTTTGTTTGTGCCCAAACACAGTTCCGAATATATGTGTGGGGCAGACTATTTGTCAGTGAAGGATGTAAAAATAGCTTGAAGTGGCAGTTTCGTGTTTGGATTTCAGATCTCCCGAAGCTTTTCTTTCCCCAGCACTCCGCATTGTGCACTCCTGAATGCCTTGTGATCTTGGTGAAGCTGCTTGTGGGTGCATGTGGCAATTTCCGGGGAAAGGCGTTTAGAATGGTGCTTGAACAACAGCTGTTTTCTGTGTGGGTGTATAAACTGTTTGAAGCTGTGGAAAAACATGGGATTTGGCAATGTGAATACTGTGTCCTTAGACAGTTTTCGTTCCTTTTAAACGTTGTTATGGGCTCAATCAAGAGATATCAGGTGAGCAAGCACTGTTTGGCTGGGGCTGCGAAGCGCCGCATTGGCCGTTACAGCTTGTCATGGCTGTCTGCATTAAGAAGGTGCGTTGGCTGTAGCGATTCGCTCCTTGAAGCATTTCTGCGCGGCAAGTATTTTGCAGCGAATCTGTATTTGTCAAGCGCTGGGTGCAGTCGTTTGCTTTTGTGAGAGGAGTACACATGAGGACAGGAAGATGACTCGTCAGCGTTGAGCTAATTTCAACTTCGTCTTAAGCTGTGGCACCTCCTTTTTTTACGTTTTCTCTGTCTTGATCTTACTGCGTAGGCTTTGCAGATTTTGTAGGCGATGACGGGACGGATTTGCTTGCGAGCAGGGCTTGCGACGCTAACGCGCCGATAACAGATAATTGTCATGCAAGCCTTTATCATGGGATAGATGAAAGTTGGCAATGCTGTTGCACAGCTGCATTGTCAGTCGTTTAGTGTCGCAAAAGCGTCACATGGAGGCCATTCGGAAGTTTGCAATACGATTCAGACTGTTCGTCATTTTGGCAGAGTTTCCGTTTTGTTGGCGCGCTTGATTGCACCCGATTGTTCGACCTTGAGCGCAAGTAGACTGTTGAATTGCACGCGCATTAGTAAATCCGATAGATCTATAAAAGTGGGAATATATCTCGAAATGTTCGTTTGAATATGGGCAAAGTTTCCAGAGTGGACTATTTTGCCCGCACCATATTGCTGTGCTCGTGGCAGCATACCAGTGAATTAATTACTTGAGCGTGGGAACTCGGCCTGCTTATCAGAAAGCAAGAAAATGCGAATTTTCGTTGTGGACGCGTAGGATATGTTATGTTTCTGCAGATGGTGCGCAAAAGCCAGATTCACTTCTAGTGACTGGTGGGTTGTTGCAGGATGCAGAGCGATGCTGAAAAACTCGTAGGACATGATCATGCTTACTACGATCGATTATGCTCTTTCTGCTTTTTGCACTGCATATGGCTTGTTATTGAACTTTTGCGAACCCGAATGGTATACAGTTTGCGTGATGGAGCTATCTTTCTAGACGCGAGCTGTTTGTTCACCTGTCCGCTATCGAAACGCGGAGATTATGCGCTACTGTGCAAGATAAGCGGGTGTTCCAAACGTTTGTGGAAGTCTGACTCCACCAGGAATTGCGAACAGCATCTGATATGGCTGTAAAGCGGCAACTACCCATGATTGTTCCAGTCAAAGTGAGGCCCATGACTGTAGACCTCTACAATGCATGCATTTGTTGTTTAAGTAATGTTGTACTTTAGCTGTAAGAGGTCGCATGCGAGAGGTTGCGGTTGCCTTCACAAAGCAGCAGCAGCACTCTACGAATGGATGGAGACAATGAAGCAGACAAAGCAAACGCTGAGAAGTAATAGTTTTGAAAGTAAGCATCCTTGTGCGTGTGCTGTGCTTTCAGTTTTTATATGAACATTTGTACAAAGGCGTTTTCCCACATGAACACACAATCGTCAAAAGTATTTGTCTAGGTTAAATACTGCGTATTTGCATGCTCTGATTTTATAGTGAAGCGATTGGTCTTGGCGCACTAGGTGCAAGCGGGCAGATTCGCATGCGCCAAATACAGAATCTAAGTAGGAAGTTTGCTCCTTCATTGTACGTTGATGTCAAATATTTCTTGAGCACACGTTATCAAATGGAAACTTGCAGTGATTATTCTAAATCCGCAGTTTGCCCTCAAGCCACGCACAATCATAAGCTCGTTGGCCTAGTCCTGGACATGAGTTTTTTTGTCTTTTCTTAACATATTTGCAGTGAAAATTCTGACGAGCAAAGTATGGAGAAGCTAGCTTCTCTTTTGTATTCACTTGCATATTGGCAAAGCTACACTTCACTTATCAAAATTTACAGCCTCGTGAGACAGGAATGTAGCACCAAAGCGTCTGTCTCTTCGTTGTTCTTGGAGCGGATTTGAAAGTATTTTTAACAGCGTGATCATGCAGTGGATATTCCCTTACTGCACAAAAATGCATTCGAAATGAAGCCAACTAAGGTCAGCTCATAGCAGTGCAAAATGGGGGACTCTCGAAGAAAAGTACCATTAACATTTGTTGCCAAGTACCACGAGATTCATTCATTTCAGGAAGTGCGTTGCCCTTGCATGCGACAGGAAATTCAGAGCGAGTGAAGGTAAAAATGCTCCTGAAAAAACAAGGAAGAGTTGGTTGGCTCTGGTCATCTTTACCAAAACGGCATTTGGAATGCGTTCTAGATGCTTCGAATCGCCAAAACGCCATGATGCAGCCTCTGTAAACGACACTTTCTTCTTAAGATGACGCCATGCCACTGCAAGTTGAGGTTCCTTATATGCAGAAAGGTGCCTATGGTTGCGCATCGTTTTCTCTTTTTTTGTATCTGATGCACCAGACACAAAGATCATGATACGCAGAGAAAACCTAATATTCAAGAGTTTTTAACTTTAAAACGCTTTTCTATGCCCGGACATTTGTATCGTCCTGCGTAATAAGAAACTGTGTTGATGCGCGGCGTGGTGATATAAAACTGTCCAGACATGCAGTTTACAACCGCAACTGTTGCTGCCACTCCAGATAGCAAAGAAAGGGCAAACTATCTTGGAAACTGTTTAGTAAATTCTGGCGCTGGAGCAGCCGTGATTCAGTATCCTCTGCAGAAGACCTGCCGCACTCTCGCCTGCTGTTTCCTGAAAAGCGACGCGGGCAAGGGGAGCTACAGTAGAATTCAAAGTTCAGTTGATGCATACGAATATGGTGTAAACTTGCGGCATGTAATGTGGCTCAAAAGGTGGGTGGTGTCACATCATAGAATAAATTAAATGCCTTGATACTTAAACAGGTGCCTTGTGC